CATTTAACTGACGGAAGGACCATTTTGGTACAAAAATGAAAGTCTGAGGATAATTTTGGTACTTTTTAAAGGTAAGGGACAATTTTGGTGCCAAAGTCAAAAGTTGAGGGACCAAAATGGTACTTAAACCTAATTTTAATCATATGTATAGTTAATTTAACATTATATTAATATTAAATTTTATTTAATAATAATTAATTTACACTATCAATATATAATGCAATAGTGGATATGTGACTTTTTTTTGGAAAATTTTAACATGGAAAATTTTAAAAAGAAATTTGTACAGTAACACAGCATAGCATAGGGTTCAAACACATTATATCACCCAATATATAATGCAATAGTGGTATGACAAATGCCATTGGGCCTCTAGGGCAAGAAGCAGTAGTGGATATGTGATTAACTCTTTTTTAACATCACATTCAAATCAATCATTTTTCATACCACATCAACTTAAATATTGTCTTAGAACTTCGTCCATCTCTTTCTACCACCCACAGCCTCTCTTTTTCCCATCCTCTTTTTGTGCTACTCTTCCATTCATTTCTCTCTTTTGTAGAAAAGCTGTCTTATTCAATGGAGGTCTTATTTCCTGTTCGAGGAGGTTCTCTTTTATTTGCTACATTTGACTTGCTACTCAAAAAGTTGGGTGGATATCTAAGTGGTCAACTACGGAATACAAAGGTGGAGGTACGTGTGCAAGTGGGGCACTGGAAGATTTTTTTGCCCAAAATCATTGTTGTACTTCAACATGCAGAAGATAATCAAGTCACCAACCTATTTGTGAAGTCATGTTTTGATGATCTCGGGAACTTAGCTCATGATATGGAGGACTTACTTGACGAGTTTGTGATTGATGCCAAGAGGTCTGAATTGATTGCAAAATGTAAAGCCAGCACTAGTAAGGGGCAGAAAGTCAAATCTAGTTTTAAGAGTTTATTTAGACATAAGGCCAAGCCCAATGGAGGGATCCATTCCATGGTGAATCATCTGAATGTTAGATTACAACATATTGAAGAGAAGATGCGTACTTTGGGCCTTGTGGATTTGGCCATGAAACTTGGAGAAATTTCTCACAAAGAAGCTGCTTTAAGAGCTCATGAATCTACAATTCTTGAAGATCATGTGTGTGGTCGAGATAGTGATAAGAAAGCTATTCTTGATAGGTTGCTAGAAGATGGAGGTAGTCTTGAACAAGACTTTGTTATTCCCATTGTTGGAATGGGTGGACTAGGCAAGACAACTCTTGCTCGACTCGTTTATAATGATGAAAAACTGGAAGGCAGGTTTGACTTGAAGGCATGGGTTTGTGTTTCCGATGAGTTTGATGTTGCTCGAATAACAAGAAACATTTTGGAACATGTTACTAAGATAAAGCCTGATTTTGAAAATTTTGTTTTGCTTCAAGAGAAATTGAAAGTGGAGTTATCTGGGCATAAGTTTCTTCTTGTATTAGATGATGTTTGGGATATGGAATATGGCCAGTGGGATATCTTGAAGAGACCTTTCATGTCAGGAGCTATTGGAAGTAGAATAATTGTCACAACTCAAAATAAGGATGTTGGGAAAATGATAAAAGGAGATGATGGAGTTTACAATTTAGAATTGCTACAAGATGATGCTTGTTTGTCATTATTTACACAACATGCACTGGGGAAAGAGAACTTTGATGTCCACCGAAACCTACAAGATGTTGGTGAGAAGCTTGTTAAGAGGTGCAAAAGATTGCCACTGGCATTAAAAACACTCGGTGGCATCTTGCGGGGCAGACTGTGTCGTGATGAGTGGGCAAATATATTAAATAGTGAGAGATGGAGTTCATCAAAAGATCGAAGTGGAATTTTTCCTACTTTGAGATTGAGCTATAATTGTCTTCCTGTTCACTTGAAGCGATGCTTTGCTTATTGTGCTTTGTTCCCTAAAGGCTATGAATTTGACAAAGAGAAGTTAGTTTTATTATGGATGGCTGAGGGCTTGTTACAACAACAGTCACATGAAAAGAAGCAACTGGAAGAAGAGATTGGTCATCAATATTTTCAAGAGTTGTTATCGAGGTCACTTTTTCAACAATCAAGTGGAGTTGAATCGCAGTTTATAATGCATGACCTCTTAAATGATTTAGCTGTAGATATTGCTGGAGAAATATATTGCAATCTTGAACTTAACATGGGTGATGAAAAGTTAAGGAAGGCTCGTCATTGGTTATTCACTCCACATTGTCACTTTGATTTATTTAACCAAATCTTGCATGATTTCTTGCCAACTTTGAAATGCTTAAGAGTGTTGTCTCTTTGCGGATATAAAATAAGCAAGCTACCAGATTGTTTTGAAAATTTGAAATATATTCGATACATTGATTTGTCTGGTACAAGAATCAAATGTATACCTGAATCAGTGGGTTCTCTTCTCTTTTTGCAAACATTGTTATTATCTGGTTGTGGAGAGCTTACTAAGTTGCCTACAACGATTGAGAATCTAATTGATCTCTATCATCTTGATATCACTGATACCCCATCTTTAAAAGGGATGCCATTAGGAATAGGCAATCTTAAAAATCTTGTAAGATTATCCACATTTATTGTGGGAGAGGCAAGTGGGATGATGAGATTGTCCGATTTGAAGAACTTGTCACAACTTCAAGGAAGATTGTCTGTTCTAGATCTACAGAATGTTTTGGATGTTCAAGATGCTAAGGAGGCTAACCTAGACAAGATCCATGGTTTAGAAAAGTTAGTCTTGGAGTGGACTACTTCTAATAATGATCAAGATGAATTAGTCCTCGAAATAGAAGTCCTCAATTGGTTAAAACCTCATTCAAATTTGAAAAGTCTCAAAATTTCTTGCTATGGTGGCAGGAGTTTCCCAGATTGGGTTTGTGATCCATTATTATTTTTGAATTTATCATCCATGGAGCTCAGCAATTGCAAGAGATGCACTTTGTTACCATCACTTGGCCTATTACCTGTTCTTAAAAAATTGATTATTAAAGGCATGGAGGCAATAAAAGCTATAGGTTTTGAGTTTTATGGAGGACAAGATTGTTTTCCATCATTAGAGGAACTAGTGTTTGAAAATATGTTGAATTGGAAGGAATGGGCTTCTCCAACGGGAAGTGAAGGTGATTTCCCTTTTCTTCGTAGGCTTGTGATTGAAAATTGTCCTAAGTTAGGCCAATTACCCAACAACCTCTCTTCACTTCAAGAGTTGATGTTAGAGGTTGTAATGTGATGCTTTTGAAGAGTATGGGTGATTGCATCTCACTTGCTAATTTGAAAATTGAGAAAATTTCAAGACTAATTTACTTGCCTGAGAGTTTTATATAGTTCTTGGCATCACTTAAGACTCTATATTGGAGACTGCAATGATCTTACTTGTTTGTGGGAGAAAGGAGAAGAAATAGAACAAAAGCCTTTTACCTTTCAATTTTAAACATCTTAGCCTGTGAGATGTGGAGCTTTGGAGTCATTATCCAATGCAATGATAATGAGGATGGCTGGAAGCAGCAGCAACAACACTAGTATGTTGATGCCGAGATTGGAAAAGTTGAAAATTTGGGGTTGTGATTCTCTCAAGTCTTTTCCAGGAGGCTTAAATACTTGAGAACAGCATACCATAAAGGTTTGGGGTCTCTACTGGATGCGGATGGTGATAGTAATAGCAATCTATATTTGGAAATAAGGAATGTTCCATGTTTGTATTCTTTTAAGGGTTGTCATCGGCCACCCAACTTTTCTCAAGAAATTTATGATTGCTGATGGTGGATTGTGTAATCTCAGCTAGCTATCCCTTAATTTTTAAGATATAAAACTCATTTTTTTTCTTTTATAAAAATGTGAATTAAGTTTTCAATATATATGTATAATCTGTTGTGTAAATAAAATAGAGATCAACTGCAATTTTGCAAATAAAGTGTAGAAAAATAAAAAGAAAGGGAAGAGAATATCAAGCTGTGATTTATAATGGTTCTTCTAACTCGGAGTATGTCAACTTCCAAGCTTCCTTGCTTAAGAGTTCAATCCACTAGAAATCTTTTGCTTGTGGGTGCAAGATTAAACCCTTATAAGTGAATCTCAACTCACTCAACCCCTTCAAGGATTATCCCAATTCAAGAAGAATACCAAACCCTTGTAAGACAATTAATCCAAAAGCTCACAAGAAGAAAAGGAGGAGATCCAAAACACTTTAAAAAACAAACCTTGTTTTTTTGTATTGCTGGAGCGGTTCGTCTTTCATACATCAGATTTGATTTTGGATGTCCTTTTAATAGTTGGTTGGGAGCCTTGCAATTAAAGCCCATTTAGCCCTTCAAAGCCACCTTACAAATGATTCAATTAGATTTCACCTTTTTTTATTATTTTTTACTTGACTTTGGAAAGTATTCAGACAATTGGTTCCCTCAAGGCCTATTAAAAATAAAAATAAACGGATAGTTGACCTGAAGTTTACCTTTCCAGAATTTTTGCTTCGAAGTTAGAAATAATGGTTTGAATCATTTTTAGAAAAGAAAAGTTCGGGATTGAATCGATTCGAACCCAGAATTCTAAACAAGGAGGATATGATTCAATTCTAATCGTAGGAAAAGATTAAAATCTTTGAATTAACTTTCCTGCACAATAACATAAAAATAAATTAAATTCTTTTGAATCATGGTTTTAATCATCATCAAAATACAAAGAGAATCTAACAATCTCCCCTTTTTTATGATGACAAAACCATGCCTTAAAATAATAAAGATAATAAGTGTAAGCTCCCCCTCAAAATATGCTTTCAAGTTTCAACAGGAATTGTACAAGCAGATAATAAGGATAGTTTTCATTTAAGTTCTTCTCCCCCTTTTTGTCATTAGCAAAAAGAAATTTGCAAAGTAACACAGCATAGCATAGGGTTCAAACATACAAATAAGCAGTACACAAAAGTCAGACATTGTAAGAGTACAAAACACTAAAATTATGATAAGCATTATAAACCAAAGTAAGCACAAAACTTCATTATCATGAATGTTTAACATTTTGCATGCATTTGATACAAAAATAATTGTGTCCCCTATCACATTGTTTACTTATTCAAATCAAATTATGCTTGAGACTTTTTACATAATAAACTTTTTTTTTTTTAATTTTCCTTCAAGCTTCCTTGAAAACACAACTTAAGCACTATATTTTGGTACCCAAACTTTCTTAGGTCCATTTAAGTTAGTCGAACAAGTAGAAATTTTTTTAGGAACCCATTTTAAATTCATCTTAAAGAAATTCTTTTTAATATAGCACTGATGAATATAATGTTCCCTTTTTAAACAATAATGACAAATGATACCATAATGAACATAATTATATCTACAACTTGATGCTTCTACTATGTCATAAGAATGCAAAGTATTACAATTCATAAAAACAGTAGATTTAGATGAGGAAGACTTGGATAATTCAAAAGAAAATCCAACTTTATTATGAGAAAATCTTTGTGAACTTAAATTGTTGTCTAACTTACCTTTGCCTTTCACAAAATTGTTCAAAGAACATTCAAGAGAGCTTATTTTCCTTTTTAATTCATCTACCAGCATATCATACTCTTCAATCAGCTTTTGTTTGCAATTTCTAAATGCAATTATTGACTCTTCCAAGTCAGTTTTCATATTTTGACTAATTATCTTTTCTTCATTTAAAGATTTTTTCAAATCACTGTTTTCTTTTTGGTTTAAGTACCATTTTGGTCCCTCAACTTTTCACTTTGGTACCAAAATTATCCCTCAACTTTAAAAAGTACCAAAATTATCCTTAAACTTTCATTTTCGGTACTAAAATGGTCCTTCCGTCAGTTAAAGGGACACATGGCACGTTAAGTTGCCAGAGAATTATATTTTTTTGAAAAAAATACTGATGTGGAAAAAAAAAACACAAATTGATGAGGTGGCACCTTTTTTTGTCTATGTGGCACTTTTAATTGTAATAAATAAATAAGAATTAATTATTATTAATTAATTAAAGTCAATTAACCTTTTCTTCCTTATTTTCCTGTTCTTCTTCAACCTTCCCCTCTTTCTCTCTTTCGTTCCTGGGTTGCTTGTTCTTCACTCTTCCCCTCTGTCTTTCTCTCTTGTCCTTGGGCCATCAATCCTTCGACATCTCTTCTCGTTCCATTTCACCATTTTAGGTTTTTTTCTTTACAGTGAATCTGGGTTCACCATCACCAGTGCTGGATTTTTTTCTTCCTCCTCTCCTCTCTCTCTCAATCCTTCGAAAATCAAACTTCTTCCTTCCTTTCCCCACTCATCCTTTTTCTTTCTTCTTTCTCTTTTTCCTTCTTCTTCCTCTCCCAATCAAACCCAGATCTGGGTTTTTCTCAAACCCAGCTGTCCTAAGAAATGGATCAACTCGGTGTGTAAAAGCCGCCACCCGCAGGACTCGCTGCACAAGCACATGGTGGATCTCGAAATGAATCTTCAGATGGTCTCCAAAGAGATTGCCGCCTCTCTCAAGGAGCAGAGCGCTTCC